ATCCGTCCATCCTGCGTCCAGCACTTTAGTCAATCAAAAACAAACATTTATTGTGTTTTTTCAGTTCTTGCCATGAGCGACTCGAGAGGATTTCAATACCAAGTTTCCCAAATGCTGCTGTGTGTAGTTAAATATTTTAAAAGCATGACAGCCTCAGTGTAGGTGTGCTTTAAAGTGAAATGCAACTGAGGATAATTTGCCTCTCCAGAAGTAATTACAGCACATTTAGCAAAAAAAAAACTCCTTTCCTTTCTTGCTAGCACAGTGGACAAGTGGTGAGTACCGTTACCTCACAAAAAGACGGTTCTGGCCCCAGTGAGCAGAATTAAGGTAATTTAGAAAGAGGATCACTAAATCCTCTTGTTATTAATAGAACAATAATCAAGCTAATAATCCATAAAATGTTTTAACCCAATTACATTTTTTTTTCTTTTGTATTGGGGCTTGTGCAAATATGAAAGCATTTCACCAGTTGGTTTGTGGTAAATCTCTTTTAAAAGAAAAATGTTAAACCAATATAAACCATCTGAAAAGACTTGCCTTCTTTTCCTTTTTCTTTTTTTTTTTTTTTTTTTAAAAAAGGTCACACTTAAAACTAAAATATGCAGAATTTTCCAAAAGCAAGGGCAGTTAAAAGTGGTGCTCAATCACTGGTCATTCATTGCCTTAAAACAAGGTTTTAGGGGGCAGATATTTTTATATCACTGAAGGCAGTTCACTAATACTTTCTGCTAGTGGCATCAGCCATTGTGTTTGGACTCTGCAGCTAAAGTATACTGCCAAAAGTCAGCAGCATCTGAGCACTGGAACACACTGCAAAAAGCAAAAACTCATTTTATTTCCAGTTGCTACATGCAGGAGCATGAAGGATGTTCTTAAAATGTTGTGAGGAAACAGGGTAAAATGTCTCATTTGCTCATTTTGAGAGATTTCTGTGACTGTGTGTGTGTGTGTGTGTTGCTGTTGTTGATGTTCTCCTCTGTGTTGCCTCCGAGGCAGAGAGATTCCACCTGCTATATGCCAGCTGTCGTTAAAGTCCAAAGCAGTCAAAGCACGCAGCATGCAACTGAGTCATGTCTGTGTTTCACACTCAAAGACATGACAGGAGATGCATGAATAAGTACATCAAATATTAGATAACACAAATACAGCATTGCTTTTGTTTGTTTTAGTGCAGCAAAGACAGAGCAGAGCTTTTAGTGTGTCTGACAATAAATCAGCCCGCACATCATCTGCAACATGAGCAGAGGTGACAGCGAGCGTCTCCCTTATTTCAGTGTCACACGTTCACCATCAGCTGATCCTCTGCTCTGAAGTCGGCTTTCCTTCCTGACTCCTGCAGAAAAAAGTTTCTAAAAAGAAAGTAAAATAAAAGTTCTGGATAGTGAAAAATATGCATGCAGCTGCAACACGGAATATTGAAATAAGCGGGTGAAAACGGAAATGCACATTTTTCCAGCGTAACACGAGCAATCTGCAAAAGATGCAGTCTGTAAGCAGTTGTTACTCAGCTTTATCCCTCAATAGAAAGCTCCAAAATTGAAAAACATAATATTAACTTAAAATTTCTTTAACATACAAACCTAACAGTGCAATGTTAATGCATTAGTGTAGGGTTAGTGAAATTTAAAATGACAAATACATTGAAAACATATAAAAGGAGCCCTTGTTTAAAAAGTAGACTTTAAATCTGTCCAAATGTAACACACTGAAGTGACTGTAGTATGGTAGACCAAAAGTGTCACAATCCAAAAAAAGAAAAAGCGTATTTAACAATAATAATAATAATAATAATAATAATAATAATAAATATTAATAATCCAGATAGATTACACTTCAGCAGTCTGTCCTCTTGTTCTAAAATGTTACATTTTAATATCTTTTCAGATTTTCATGCATTATCACATGCTCTGACTGCTTCAGAAAAAAGTGATTTGCATTTAAAAATTAATTCAAATCAGTCTTTTTTGTTCCAGTTTCAACTACAACATTTACTCTGATACGGACAGTCGTTTGTTAGCATGTTTCTCCCACCGGCCCGCTTTCAATTTGCGAAACATGCAATGACAAGGCAAGTTTTACTCTTCTTAATATCAGTCTGTCTTACTTTAAGCATTTACTCGCAATGTAGATGTCAAATGTTATTCTCGGGACATCTGACCTCAGAATAAGGTCAAATTAAACTCTAAGTCTTGTATGTGGTTTGTTTGTCTATGACACATGTTATTTGCCCTCAAAGTCCCTTCAAGCTATCCAACACATGTGGTGGATATAAGGGAAGTTACATTTCTGTCAGTGCAGTTAGAAATTTTGTTCATGTTCATCTTAGTTTTTTAATTCATGAATTTTCTTTGTTTAGAAACTTTATGCTCACAAACAATACCTGTTGACTCCCTTATTGAGTTATTGGTCATAGCTGAATTGTTTTCTTTTTCCACTGCTTTCTGGTTTTTCTTTTCATTAAATTCAGGATTCCAGCTGTAAACAGTGTGTCCAAAGGAAAGACTGTTTCTGATAGGTGACAAAAAAAATCATCTTTTCCCCTCCTGATTAGTTCAATTTGCACTGTTGTAAAGATTCAAGACGCTCCCTTTATTTGTTGTTCATCTCTTGCAGATGGTGCAAAATTCTACGGTTTATTTAGTGAGTGTTCCTGCAAACATTTTCTTGAGAAAGTTAATATCATGAACCTCAACTCAGACGTGTCCACAAGAACCTGCCCCTTGTTTCTCATTGACGGACTCTGGTTAAAGATCAACCTGCAGCTGTTCTTCTTTGGTTTACTGACTGCATGTGTGCATGGTGTTCTCTCTGCAGTGTGTCTGAACATGCTGGCTCCCCCCATAAATATAGCTGCTGGTCAGTGGCTGCTGATGACAGCCATAATTACAGGCTGAGCTGTCCAACAGCTGAAGAAGAGAGAAAGAGGGGGTGTCTTTGTGCAAGTGTGGATACTGGTGTTCAAACTGAAGTGCTCACAAAAAAAAAAACCTGCAGAGCTCCCGGGAGGTTTGCTCTGGGGATAGAACAAATTGGGAAACAATGGGATAAAATCTATAAAACATGTCCTCCTTGTCATTAGATCTGTTTCAGTTGGCTTGTATTTCTCTTACTAATTTCTAATCAGGTTCCTGGAGCTTTTGTACTTTTATTTTTCAATTATGAAGGTAATGCATTCTCACTTTTGCACTTTACAAACATTTTTGGTCCCAAAGTAAAGTTAATTTTCAAACAATTTAACCGAACGCCTGAGCACCTCTGATCTTTCCTATTAAGGTTATTTCAAAGTCTCGTCTGCTCCTAATGATGGATTAAAAAGGACAAGTCATTTTCTGCTCCCGTCGCTTTGTGGAAGGGTGAGGTGAATCGGATTTGTATGGACTCAGCGGAACAACATATCCACTTATGGAGTCCAATTATGCTGGCAGGAGCACTCTGAGATGAGTCACTCCTCAAAATCCAGCTGCAGGAAGGAAATTTTTCCCTCCACCTTAAACGGCGGTACCTGTGCTTTACGCTGTTTGTGGCTTTTTAAAGATGGAGATGTTTGTCTTTTTTTAGATTCCTTTCATGTAATTTACTTTGTTTGCTCCTCGCTTCCCAGGGAAAATCCCTCTGCCTGAGATAAATGGATTAAAATAAATAGAAAAAACACCTTACTGGTAAACTGTAATGCCAGATAATGAACCCAGTGGGTAGGAAAAGGAGCAAAGTGCACTACTTCAGATCTATTACCTTGTTTAAGATGCACTATCCCAAATAAGATAATAAAGTTTTAGCAATAAAAAGCTAAAGTCAGAGTAGAGCAGTGGTTTCCACTTCCAGATCCTCGAGGGTCTGTTACCTGAATGCTTTAAATGTGTCCCTGTACCAATTAAGCTTAAGGTTGAACCACATCAGTATTTCTTCAGTTTTTGTAGCTACATGAAAAAGACCCATTCTTTGAAATGTGGTGTTTAGAACCAGGGAAACATCTAAAACGTGTTGGACCAGAACTGGGCATCACGGGTTTAAAGAGAACCTATGCTGCATGTCATTCCCCTCTGAAGACACACCTAACCTAACCTCTGGGAAGTAATAGAAGTACTGAGGTTTACTAGTGTTGGTGCAACGTCTGGGGTAGATTTGTTATAATAGTCCAGCAATTTATAGCAGTTAAAAGCCACAGCTGTGTATTTTTATGGCTTTCGTTCATCCACACTTCTTCACAAAGGGAGGTTGTATACAAGACTATTAGTGGAACTAGATTAGTCAAATATAAAACATCTGTTGTGCAAATACACTGATTATTAATGCTTCTGTTCTGCTGCAGAATTCAGTTACTAGGGGATTTTTAAAAAATGTGCAAATCTAGAATTCAACTGTTTAAGTACAATCCCAATAATAACTGTTAGTCTGTTGGTTATAGAGCTTTTGAAAATATAACCACCTAAAATGGCAGCTGCAGGACAACAACGCTACCAGCCTCAAAATGCCCCAACACGTCAATAAAGGTTTCCAGTTTACAACAATCAGAGCAACGCAAGTCAGAACGGCATGGCCAATATTCTGGAGTCTGACCGGATCACAGAATATGCTCTGCGAACCATTTAACGACTCTGTGATATTATGACACTTCTTCATTCTCTGGATGTGAACAAATTAAAGTCCCGAAGGGTTTTTCTCTTATTGCAAGACGTCAAAAGTCCGACTAAATCAAAGTTAAAGCTGATGAATGGAAATATGCACTAAAAAGAAATGAAGCCAAATAAATACTTGGAGCATACTGCAGCTGTGACATGACCAGTGTTGCTGATTGCTGAAATATTGCGCAGAACAATTTAGTCTGTGTTCATCTTGTGCTTATTTTACCATTTGCTAAAATTTAAACGATGATATGAAATTTTACCTTTACCTGATCTCTTTGAACATGCAAACGTAAAATAAAGTGATATATTGCAAATACTGTATTAATCACCTAAAATAAAATCAGTCTGAAATTGGAAGCCTTTTTTATTTTACTACATGCATTGTTTTTATTTAAATTTTGGGCTTTAAAAAGAGCTGATTCAGTCTGATTTACATTGGATGAGAAATAACAAAAGGACAAACACGTATCATGATGTTCAACCCCCACCGCCTTCACCACATGATGGAGTCTCGGGGTTATTCTTCTCAGAGCTGAAAACCGGCTGGTCCCGCCCACTCGGTAACATCTCTGGCCTCTGATTGGTCCGCGTTGTTGAGGAGGAGCGCCTCAAACACAAACTGGAATGTGTGCGGGTCGGCTCGGTGTTTGCAGTGTGTGGACGTCTGGCTGCGGCGTCTGATTATCAGCGACGAAACGACGATAATCTACTCGCCGCTGCATGCTTCTTCTGGGGTAAAGCTTTGTATTATTTGTTTTAAAGCTGCGCCGGAAAAAATCCTGCAAGAAAAATCAAGCCTCAGCGCTGAAAGCGAAGACGCACTTTCTCCTGTGTTATTTTTTTTATTTTTATTTTTTTTTTTTTTTTTTTTTTTGTTCCTTTTTTTTTTTTTTTTTTTTTTTGTAACGGACGGATGGACAGGCTCAGGTAGACGGGCAGAGACGCAGTTGAGGAGCCGCTCTTACTGGTGAAGTTTTGCAGAGGTGAGTTGAAGCATCCGGGAGTGCAGATCCATGCAGAGCGTGTTGGATGAGAAGCGTCTCTGAGAATCAGAGAGGGAAATCTCCTCCCCCCCCCTCCCCCCCATTCTCACACACAGCTGTGGAGGGGGAAGATCTTCCATTCTCTGGGGCAATGGGTTAGTAGATCAAGGCGATGCATGAACTGGCTGATGCAAACGGACAACAGCCCGGCA